CCCCCCCCACACACACACACCTTTATATCGTTTAGACATCCCCCTAGTTAATAGCAGCCCAAAGTTACTCACTTGCCTGAATTTCTTGGATTCCCAAAGCTGCACCCATCAAAGTAGAAAACTCAAGATTGACACTTTTATTCATATTTAAATATCCCACAAGAGTTCTGGATAAGAGCACCTTATTCCTTCCCAGTCACTCTCCAATCACAGTGATAAAAGTATCCCCCTCCAACACCTCTAACCTAATCACCACATGCCCCCATATCCCCCTTCTTATCACGTAACTATGGAGGTGTTTGACAACATGGTTAGTTTTGTTTTTGAAAACAAAAACAATTGCACATCAGCAAAATTATATTGTTTTTTCGGATGTGGCAGTTGTTTTTGTTTTCAAAATGGAAACCAACCATATTGTTGAACCCCCTACATTTATACAAAAAGGCCACTTCCCAATGTTGGTTTCAGCTATCTGGGGTCTTGGGAGGGGTAAACTGGATAAATTCCTAATCTTTGGCCTTTTTTGCACAAGTTGGCTGCTCTCAAAGTCAAACTTGCATTGTCACGCACCCACGCTTGCCAGCTCAAGGTTTTACCATTATACCAAGCAATGGCCCCTAAACTATCCTCCTATATGAAACTTAAAATTCAAACTCTCCAAATTTGACCTCAAAGGGCCTAAAAATGTAGATTGGAGATCCTCCTTGTCAGTAACTATGCTCCACAAACTCGAAGCCACATCATCAACATTAGGATAGACCTAATATCAACACATCTATATCCAAAGCACCAAATTTTACACCCTTCGTGAGGATTTGTGTAGTCAACATAGCCCCCTTGAGTGGAATATCTATCCAGAATGAAACCATAAATCAGAACAACTAACATGGACCTGCTCTGCCCAACGAAGCAAACTCATCTCCTTCAGCAGTGATAAGAAATGGGAAGACAAGTATCAACACGTCCAAGTGAAAGGTCTGAAGGATCTACCTTAAGCACTACTCACGCATGAAAAGGGAAATCAAATCAAGCTTCCGCCAAACCTAAAGTCATTATATGAAGACCAAGAATTGAGGCATTACATCACAAGTTTTGAGTAACCCCAAACAACCAAGAGTAAATCGACCTCATTAAATAATATTCCACACAACTGAAGTGTATTGATTGAACCAAATTCTGACAGTCATGAACACAGTGACCCCAAATTTCAAGCAATGATCTGAATAGAGTCTTCAAATCTTCCAATATTTATCTTACAACCAACACAAGCTCTAAGCTCATTCAAATGGAGATACTTATAGCACCTAAAAAGGAAGAGCTCTCCTCTTTCCTTATCCACTTAGAAAATTCCAAATGAAACAATTTTCAGAATTCTAAATCTACCCTGTTCTTTTATTTTAGTCATCATAATCTACCTTATCCATACACAAGGTCAGCAGCTCAAATCCTGTTTCTCCATTACTCTATATAAATCCATATGCTCTACAAACAATGAGTTGGAAAATCTTCCCTAGATAACTGAACTTGAGTTCTTTTTGGCCTTCTCCTTGCCCTTTGTAAAACCTTTCCACTTGCACCAAATCCATCCTTCTCACTGGTGCATTTATCTTTCATGTTTCATGTGGCCAAAATATTGCAATTTACTACCTCTGATCTTGTTTGTAATTGGCGCTGACACCTTAGGTCCTTCTAGTAAATATATTTCTAATTTCAAACATCCTATTTCTACAACTCATGTATGTCAGCATTTTCTTAGATTTTTGTTTCTTGACTGCCCAACACTTTGCTCCCTAAAATATGGCTAATTTTTATGCATATGGTTAAACTCCCATTTAAATTTTAGTAGAGTCAACTGATCCCACAATTTTCCTACTTTAATGACCAAGGAAAATTTCAAAGCACACTACCTCCACTAATAGAATTGCATACCATCATCCCTTTTTCTCAGTTAATAACAGAAACTTAATTAATAATATGAAGATGAAGAGTAGTAAGTAGTGAGTACAATTACCAAATCAACCTAGAAGGGTAAGACAAGATCAAAGATGACCTCTCATAAGATGAGGTAACCCATAGACATTTCATTAAGGAACAAAAGAAAAAAATATAAACTATATACAGAGGGAATACTATACAACTCAGCTTCTCAATCCCTGCTCTAGCCAAGCTATCCACCATGGAGTTGGCTGACCTTCAGATCCATTGAAACAAGATCCACCATAAATATGAGAGCACTTACCATTCAAACAATGCCAGAAAACCCAAGGTCTCCCCACTGCCATCTCCAAACCACCCAATAATAACCTATGTCATTAATCTAAGCCAGTTAATGGCATCAATTGAGACCCTGAAGCAAGTTCTTTCATATTAGGACAAGCCATCACTCGATCCAATAGAACCTAACAAATCCAAAAGGATCTCTCTTGCTGCAACCATAAAAGGTTTCTTAAATTTTTCAGGTTTCCCAAAGACCACCCATCAAAATTAAGCTTCACTGCTACTTGGACAGAGGAAACTAACTCTGTGAAAGAACCTGCCTTCTAGTCAAGGATCTCTCACCACATGAGATTAGCTTCAAACCATGTCATCAAAAGAGAAAACACAGTGACAAAGTAAATCTACAGTTGTTCCTCAGCAATTTCTAATTGAAGAATCTGGTGTTTCTCTCCTCCCATATGGACCAAAGAATATAGTAAACCTCTATATAACCGCCCCCCCCCCCAAGAAAAAAAAA